AAAAAAAAAAAAAAAATCCCCAAGAGGGGGCCTGGGGTGAGAATCTTTCTCCCAAACCTGGGAAAAATAGCTCTGCAGCAGTTCTCAACTATGGCTCCTCACAAGATCTGTCCCTGGGCCTGTACCCAGGGCCAATCCTGCAGTGGGGCACTACAACACTGGCCTTAGAACCCATCCCTACAAGCATGGCCTTCTTGCCCCCCAAACCCTACTCCCTCTACTAAGGGCTGGAAAAACCAAACAACCTTCCACAAAAACAGACCTTTTTCACAGACTCTTTGGTGGTCCTGGGGTTTTGGAAGCAACATTAAAGGTGCCTGGGTCCACGGCTAGCCTCCCAAGTCCTTGTATCACTATTATAAAGGGGGTTTCCAGCCAGGATGCCCACAACCTCCCATAAAGCAGACGTGGGATGGGTGGAAACAGGATCCACCCCCAGAACGCAGGGCAGACACATGGTGCTGCTGCATCAGAACATCTGTAACCATCCTAGGACACCCTGACTTCAGGCCTCCCAGGGCTCAGCTTCTCACTATCTGGGGATGACAGGAATCCCTCTCATTCCTGCTCACTTGGGGACAGCTGCCACCATTTCCTGGGGGCCTATGGAAGCATTCCTTGAGTACTTAGGTAGGAGGCAGCTTGGCCAGCCCCTTCTCCCAACCTAGGAAGCTAGGGTCTAAAAAAAAAACCAAACCAAACCAAACCAGAATGCTGGGATCAAAAAAATTCTCAGGAGCCATGCAAACAAATGACAACCTCAGGCAGAAAGATTAGAGGTTCCTCTCTCAACAGGCCCCCATGCCAATCCCCTCACTACTATTCCAGCCCACCACCCAGAGGGGCACCTCCATCCTGTCCTCCTGAAAGCCACCTTGCCATTTTCATGGACATCAAAATATCTCTACCAGGAAGATACATGAATCCCCACTGCTTTAAGGAGGTTAAAATTAAAGATTACTCAACAGAAAATGGTAAAATACAGACCCCACCCCAAGTCCTGTCCTGCTGCCCTGGGTCCAGAGCCATGGGGACAGAAGAGTTGTTGAACTAAAGATGGGAAGAATGGAAAACAGGTAGGGAGCTACCAGTGCCCTCTACATCCACCACCCCCTCTTCAACCTGAGGCATCTAAGTGTGGCTCCCCACACTCCAAGGATGCAAGCAGCCTGGGGACTGCATGCTTTGCCTCAGCCACACCACTGTGGCCAATCCTCCACTCTGGGCTCACTGCACTTGTTCCCAAAATTGGAGTCCATGGACCAAGCACCCTTGGAGGGCCAGTTGTAACCCCCACTACAACCCAAAGAGAATGGCAGCACTGTGCCCATTGTAAAGATGAGAAAACCAAACTCCAGGGAGAATAGTTCATCTGCTACATGATAACAAGAATAGGATGCCAAATCCAAGTGCCTACCCAAAACCTGTCCCCAGACCTCCACCACACTCACTCCCCAACCCTCCCCAAAAGGGAAGAGTTTCTACAAGGAATACCCAAACCCAAGAGCCTATAAGACCCACCGTCTATCCCCAGTCCAAACTCCCAGTCCGGATAGTGTAACCCAAGGGAAGGAAATGGAGTTAGGGAGCAAAGTGAAAAGATAATCAGTGTCCACCTGACTCTCAGTTCCCCTAACCGCCCCCGGGGCAGGGCTGTGAGGAGCGCTGGTGTAGCTGGATCGCACTCCACTCCAATCCAGCACCCAAATACGCTGGGGAAACGTGGTGGGGACCTGATTCCCTGAGGGGTCCCCACTACCTGTAAATCCGCCCCTCCCTGCACTCAGGACCCAACTCGCGCTCTCCGCTCCATCCTCCACCTCCTTAAAATACAGAAAGGACGGAAAGGAAACGTGCCAGGCACCCCCCCCACCTCCTGGCCCCGCGCCAGGTGTCCGCCGACCTCTGGTGAGAACGCAGAGAACCCGCACAGCCACCCTGGACACGGAGACGCGGTTCCCCGGCTATTTCCACCGATAAGGAAAGTGAGACTGGGAGAAGGGGAAGGCCAAGCAGAACCTCAGAGCTGTATGCTCTCTACCTCGGTGCCCACCACCCGACTCAGAACGCAAAAGGAAAAGAAAACTCCAGGCAAGGACCTGGGGCGGAAAGAAAGGCAGTCTGCCTGAGCGTTCTGGGCCCGGCGGTGGACCCCTCTCAGCCACCGAGCCCCGGCCTCAACCGCAGCGGCCGCCATCCGCTCGCCACCCGACCGCGTGGCCGCCACGCCCCCCGCGCGCGCCCCACCCACCGAAGCCCCGCCCTGCCGGCCGGCGCGGCGGAGGCCCGGGCGCGCCCCCTTCCCGCCCCCCCACGCGCCACGCAGTTTCGGGGTCCCGGCGGGGGAGGGGATTCAGAAGGCCGCCTCTGCACCGTCCGGAATCACGGCTGCGCTCACCTGTGTGCGTCCGCAGGTGCGACTTTAAGTGCGAGGACTTGTAGTAGGCTTTGGCGCAGCCCGGGAAGGGACAGCGGTGGCTCTTAGCGGCGGCGGAGGGCGCGGCGCCGGGGGCGCGGCCCGAGG